GAGAGATGGGACTTGTAAGAATGCAGATTCTTAGGTCACTTCTGATGCATTGAGTCAGACTCTCTGGAGGGGGAGCCTGGGAATAAGCTTCTGGACAATTCTGAGACACACAGTGTGTGAAGATCACTTAGCTGAAATAATAACAGTGATACCAGCTAACAGTTATTGAGTGCTGACTGAGCTCCAGGGGCAAGCTAAGTGCTTTACTTGTAATGACTTACTGAATTCTCAACACAACCCTTTGCAGTAGGTACTGTTATTATTGGCCTCCTTTTGCAGAGGCACAGAAATGTTAAGTAAAATCCCCAAATCTACCCAGCTGGGGAGGGGTGGGGCTCGGATGGGAACCAGGTAGCCAGGCCTGCAGGAGGGAGCTCCGAGGAGCTGCTGCTCATTCCCCACCAACTGCTCCATCCCACACCCCATTCTGCTGCTCAACATGATCCTCAGCCCTGCTTTCCCCAGCCACAGGCATTGCAAGGAGAGGCAGGAAGAATAACAAGGGCAGACCTATGTTGAACCCTGACTCTGGAGTCACTTGTGTAAGGACACACAGCTGGTAAATGTGGAGCTAGGATTTGATCTTGGGCCGTCTGGCTCTAATCGGCTCTACCTTGTTCTGGATAAATTCACTTACAGCCCTTGACCTCCCCCCCGCCCCCGGGGTCTGCAAGCCTGTTCTGTCCAGCTGCATTTCCTCTTATATACTACAGAGGCTACTAAGATTCGTGGGACACATATGGCCAATACCAACATTTTCAGTGCGTTGATCCACCAGATGGACCGAAGACTGCAGATCTCACCATAACCATGAACACTCTGGACCACAAGGGGGCAGGAACCAACCTGTCAAGCCCCGGGGCTTACCTAGCAGGAGTGTTCTCAGGAGGAAAGAAGGAAGGCAGGTCATTAAGGATAACCAGCCAGGCAGAGCCTCACCTGCCCTTAAATGTCAGCCAATAAGAAGAGGAAATGGGCATGGGTCCTTCTTTTAAAAATGCACATTCAACCTGTTTGATCATTAATTTTATTCTTCAAGCAACTTGGCTTCTCTTCTGCTTCCTGCTGCCTTTCTCAAAGGGACCAAACTTGCTTTCTGTCTTCTTCCATTTTCCACTTTTGGATCCCAATCCCCCTTTTATTAATTTTCTCCAACATGTGTCACCCAATATTTGCTCATTTTGCTTTAGCTGATCCTAAATTCTCATGGTTGCTGGAGATAGCTACAACACTAAATTTCTTCACCTGGATCCTCTGGGAATTGGGGACCTGTCTTTGGAAGAGGGATTGTGTGACTCTGGGGGTGACATTCTCCATGCTATTGTGCAGTGTGTGGCAGCTCCCAGGAGGGAGCGTTTATCAGGGAGTTGGCTGGTTTCACTGAGCCCCTCCATGTGCCAAGCAGTCAACAGGACAGATAAAAATCCAGTCCAGTGTTCAGCTCTGAGGTTGAAACAAGCTGAGGAGGCAGCACAAGAAAGCCAGTGTGACCAGAGCAAGTGAGACAAGGGGAAAGTGATGGGGACAGGGTCAGGAACATGCATATGGACACAAACAGTGTGCCCACAGGCCCAGTGAGTACCCAGACTTTCATTCTAAGGCAGATGTGGTTTGAGTTCTGACTCTCTCATTCTTAGAGGTGCAGCTTGCACACATCACTGCACCTCTTCGAGCCTCAGTTTTCTCACCTATTCAAGAGAAAATAACAGTTACTTCCTAGGTTTATCATGAGAATTAAATTAGAATAGTGCTTTGGAGAAGGAAGCCAGATTGTAAAAAAAAAAAAAAAATGGCCGGTTGCAGTGGCTCACGTCTGTAACACCAGCACTTTAACAGGCTGAGGCAGGTGGATCACTCGAGTCCAGGAGTTAAAGACCAACCTGGCCAACATGGTGAAACCCCATCTCTACTAAAAATATGAAGATTTGCTGGGTATGGTGGCACACACCTGTAGTCTGAGCTACTCAGGAGGCTGAGGCAGGAGAATTTCTTGAACCCAGGAGGCGGAGGTTGCAGTGAGCCGAGATCACACCACTGCACTCCAGCCTGGAAGACAGAACAAAACTCCATCTTAAAAAGAAATAAGCAGGGGATGAACGTTAGGAAGGAGAGTCAGTGAATAGCAGCATTTGTTTTGGGAAGTTTGGTGATACAGGGAAGAAAAATGGAGTTACCAGGGCCAGGATAAGGTTTCTCCCATAAATCACAACTTTGTAGGCTGTTCCTGCCTGAGGGTGCTGGGAAGATGAGACCAACATTCCCACTGCACAGTGAGGAGACTGTGGCCAAGAGGATGGAGCCACCCAAGCTCAAAAAATCAGTTCAGAAAACATACCAGACAAGACAGGAAACCTTTTAAAATTTTTAATTAGCTTTAGGGAAACATCATGCTAGAGTGTTCAGATGTTTATAAGATAATGGATAAATCAACCCACGTATCCTCCCCTGCTTTCCAAACTTTAGTTATCATGGCCAGACCCACCACCGTCTCTGGCTACGTTGCCCCCATCTACATAGCGCTGTGGAAGGTGGACAATTTGCAGTTCAGAGCTGCTAAAAATTTATTGTGGGAAGATTACAGGGAATCAGCACAGAGGTTCTGGTGAGGATTTACAGGGAAATAACCTCCGTACCCGGAGAAGCATGGGATCTTTGGGTCCAGGGTGGGTCATGCAGTTCCAGGCATCAGCTGAATAATCAACACGATCTACGCAGGTGGTGTCCTGAATGTGGAGAACATTCCAGGGAGAAGACTAGGATGCAGAAGCTGATTCTGTGTGAAATAATCCAGGTATTAGTAAATTTCACACCCTTTCTTCCGGTCAGAACTGACAGCCTTTCCCACTTCCTGCTCTCTCCCTCCGCGCTGGTAAGACTGCTGTCCGTGGTGCTGAAGTCTATTCCTGTAGGGACGCCCATCCACTGCCTCTCTCTGTATAACGTTTTCTCATTGTTTCCCTGGACTTCCTTTCATCAATTAAGGTGGCTCTTCCTCGTCACCTTGGCCTACTTCACAGCACAATAATACAAAATATCACCAGGTGCCCTAGTTAATCAAAAAACATATTTCTTACTTTTAATATTGGCAACTCAGTCACATGTATAAAACACTTTATAGGCTAAACCAAATATGTCTGTGAGCTGAATATAATATGGGGGGTCACAGATTTGGGACTTCTGTGCTAAGTGACAGCCTAGATATATTGCCAGGAACACTTGAGATGCCCTAGACCTTTCAACGTTTTGCAACTGCCAGCCAATTAACTTAGAGAGAGCCGCACTGTCCAATAGGGTAGCCACTAGTCACGCATGGATATCAGCATTTGAAATGCAGCTAATCCACCCTGAAATATGCTGTAGGTATAAAATACGCAACAGACCAAAGACTTACTGCAAAAATAACATGTAAAATATTTTATTACTTTTATATTGATTCCATGTTAAAATGATAATATTTTGGATATGGTGGGTAAATATAAACCAGTAAGGTTAATATAATCTGTTTCTTTTTCCTTTCAAAGATGGCTTTGCCAGAAAATTCAAAATTACATGTGTGTCTCCTGTTATATTTCCATTGGATAACAATGGTTTAGAGTATGACATAACTAAGCTAATTAACTCAAGGACATAGATTCCATTATGGTGTTGGCCACTTAATTTTTTGTGTCCCCGTCATGGACTGTACCTTATTACAGCTCGATTCATCACATGTGACCTTGTTCTCACAAAGCATGTGTACAGCGCAGCTTATTACATACTTATCCTTACTCCTCAGAGGAGAATACATCTATCCCCCATGACTCTTATGGGCAGTCACCCAAAGCTTCTCCCCATTGCCCAGAGCATCAGACCCTTTCCTGCTTCTGTGTACTTGCACATGCTGTATCTTCTGCTTATAATGTCTTTTCCCACCAAAAGAGTCTTTATCATTTTTCAACACCCAGTTTAAATCTTGCCTCTTCTGCAAAGACTCCTGGAAGTCTCCTGGTGAGGCTACTGGGTCTTGTTTACTTCCATAGAACCTCAACTGATCACCTCAGTGCACAAGAAATTGCCTATTTATTTGTTTTATCTCTTGCTAGGCTGGGGGATCTTGAGATCAGGGGCCATGTGTGATTCATTTTTGTAATCCTGGAACTTAGGATAAAACAGGGAATAAGATGAAGTCCCTGACTTCATGAGGTGTACATTCTTTTGGGAGGGGAAGAGAAAAGATACAGATAATATAGTAGGAAGTAAGATAATAATGACTGTTATGAGGAAAAATAAAACAGGGAAGAGAGTGGTGGATGTGCCATTTTTGAGAGACTTGAGATGGTGACACCTGAGCAGAGTGTATTCAGCACAGAATTGTTGCAAATACATACATGATAAATGAATGAATAATGACATCTCCTTTCATAGAAACTTCCTTCCTTTTATCTGCCAGATATCACTCTTGTAAAGATGTCTCTTAAAACTGAGCTCCCTGCACACTCCAGCCCACGTCAACCTCCTTTCTTTACTTCAAAAAGGCAAGTTCCTTCATTCCTGCTTCAGGGACTTTGCACGTGTTCATCCTCTTGCTTGTGATACTTTTCTCCTGGGTCTTGGCACAACTCCTACTGCCTGATCATTCAGGGCTCAGCCGAAATATCTGTTCCCCAAAGAGTCTCTGTCTGACTATATTAATTTGATGCCTCTCTCTGTCCCCACCTCAGTTACTTTTGTCCACATCCTCCTGCTTTGTTTTCTTCTGAATACCCATCATCCTCTGGAATTTAGTTGACTATATATTTATTTCTTTGTTCGCTGTTAGTATTCCCATCTAGAATACAAGCTCCAGGAAATCAGATTCCTTGTCCATCTCCTTCACTGCTGTATTCCTAACATGTAGAATAGTGTCTAGCATATAGTAGAGGCTTAACTACAATTTAATAAATGAATGAGTAACACACTTATAATGACCCTAAAGGCCAAAGGTCATCACTAAGGAATGGAAACATGCTCTGGTTTCTCACCGGATTGGTACACACATAGCTCCTTCACTTTGGGGACATTTAGATGGTGACTTGGTACTTTTCCTGCAGCAGGACCAGATCTAGAATGCAAAACAGATACCTCAGACAGTGGGGGTGGGGGAGGATCAGAGAGACCAGGGAGGTTTCCCCCTTGGAGCAGCACTGGGAGCAGAATGGGGAGGGGGAATGAGCCCAAGGTGTGGAGACGGGTCTGAGGCTGGAAGCTCTGATTTGCTGCTGGCTGTCTTGAATGATTTTGTGGACAGTTCTGGATACTGCATGGATACTGCATGGATAACCATGCAGTATAGTGACTACCAGTGTGGGCTCTGTAGCTGGAGGATGTGGGTTCACTCTGGCTCTGACACTTTCTTCCATGGAAATATGGGCAAACATTTTGATCTTCCTTTGTTTCTGTTTCCTTATCTTTAAAATGCAGATAGTGATAATACCTAGTTCATGGAGTTGTGTGGACTGATCAAGTTAACATATGTAAAGTCCACAAAGAGTCTGGCACATAGTAAAGCACCTAATATGCATTTAGATTTAATTGTTATTATTTTTTGCTAAGCAATCTTGGATAAATTGCTTAAAGTTCTTGGATCTTGGTTTCCTTATCTATAGATTAGGAACAACCACTTCCTTCCAAGCTAATCACTTAAGAGCTCCTACATTGGAATGAGACAGTGCAGAAAGGTGCCATTACTGCAGTTGGAGTCTCATTTCATCTGGTCATCTCTCTGAAGCAATGGCCCAATAACAAAGTGAAGGTGTTGGTTGAGCTGTCCCATTCATTTGCATGGGCCTGGGGTCACAAGCTTTGGGAATTTTTAGGCTCATCCAGATTAGTTGCCTCAAGCTTCCTACCTCATAAGTAGTGAGTTCTGGCCGGGCGTGGTGGCTCACACCTGTAATCCCAGCACTTTGGGAGGCCAAGGTAGGTGGATCACTTGAGGTCAGGAGTTAAAGACCAGCCTAGCCAATACGGTGAAACTCCGTCTCTACTAAAGATACAAAAATTAGCCGGGTGTGGTGATGCATGCCTGTAATCCCAGCTACTTGGGAGGCCAAGGCAGGAGAATTACTTGAACTCTGGAGGCAGAGGTTGCAGTGAGCTGAGATTGCACCACTGCACTCCAGCCTGGGGAACAGAGCAAAACTCCATTTCAAAAAGCAAAAAAAAAAAAAAAAAGGTAGTGAGTTCCCAGTCAATGAAGGTATATAAGCAGAGGTCAGAAAATTGCTTGCTGGGAGAGCCACTAGAGAGAACTTTAGAAACTCCGGCATCTAGCACTTGGCAGGACTAGTGAATATTCAGTGAATGAAGGCATATACCTTTCAATTCAGCTTTTTTTTTTTTGGTGGGGGAAGTTTGAAGTCCTGATGGGGGCCTGAGCTGCTCAGATTCAATCTTGCATTTTTTGCTTTGAATTCTAGCAGATATGAAAACTTTGGATGCTTGAGGTAGAGACATCTGAAAGGAGGCAGTCTTTGTCTCGGCTGAAACCAGACCAATTTCCTGCCCATCAATCAACATCATACAATTTTAGAGGAGAATAAAGGGAGAATTGGGCAGATTTTCTCCCCTGGAGAAGCCTGCATTCATATCTTAGCTGCTCTAGGCTAAGGGCAAGAATAGAATTGAAACAAGCATGTCCTTAGCTAAAGGTGCACATTCAATTGCTAGTGCAGGCACAGTGCTTCGTGTTGGCACACTGGGTCCCCTCAGTAAATGTCAGCTGAGTTTATTAAGGTTGTGATTATTAGGGACCATTCTACTTCAGCAGGAAAGAGATTTTTGGTCTAGGAGAAGTGCCAGGGTGAGGTAAGGGGAAATGAGATACAAAGGGTGACAGAGGAGTCTGAACTTTCTTCTGGAGTGTTCCTGTCCCTTCCCACCTCCAGCACTTACTAATCAATTCTTTAACCACATGCTGCTCCAGGTTGTAGAGCCATTTATTAATCACAGGACACACCTGAAAGACAAGGAAATAGGCAAAGGTCAGGAGGAGGGCTCGTTAATAAAGCCTAAATAAGAGTGAGCAAGGCAAGTTCTCCTAAGCCAACCCATTCTGGGGACAACCAAGTAGATGGGTTTTGGGGACAGGCTACCCTAGGGTCACAAGCCAGCTCAGGCTGCCCTAGGGTCACAAGCCAGCTCAGCCACTTGGCAGCTGTATGACTTGAGTAAGTCATTGGCCCTGCCTGGGACTGTTTCTTAAATCTGGAAAATGAAGATGATATTGTTACCTGGAGTATGAGATTGTTTGGAGGATGAGATAAGAAAATTCGGATACTTAGCATAGTGTTTGAGTGCTTAGTGAATGTTAATTTTGTGATTACTTATCCCCATTTTATGGATAAGGAAACTGAGTTTTGGAGAGAATTATCAACTCACTTCTGGTCACACGGATGCTGATTTTGACCTGAAGAATTAAAGAATGTCTGTAAAACACTTCACCAGTGTCCGATTGCAGAATGGGAGCTTAATAGACGCCACTCCATCTCTCCCTAGCTCTCCTTCCTGGAAGATTTCCTCCCACTTCGTTAAGAAGATCCAATCCCTCGTTATCTGAGTCTCAGCTCAAAAACGGAAGTAATCTGGGTTTGCATACTTACCTTTTGCCCCATATCATGGGCTACTATGTTTTTCAGGTTTCTCTCTATGTTTGCCACAACAAATTTTGCTGCTGGGGCGAGTCTAAATCAAGAGGCAGAAAATACGCAGAACAGATTAACTTCTCTCGGATTCCTTTCTCCACATCACTTCTTTGATCAATGACCGTGAACTTCTTCAAGTCTACTCTTTGTTTCCACGGCATTGAATCACCCAGCCATGTCCTACTGCTCCAGTCCACACTCTAGGGCTCCTCAAAATTAATCTTCCAAGTTTAAGTCACCTTGCCCTTATCATTGTTACCCACCGTTATCTTCTCTGTGACTATTTTGCATCTCCCACTGGAGATGCCTTCTTCAAATTCTTGTTAGGCCCAGCCAACTGGTTTCCTTCAGAAAGCTCTTCCTGATCATCCTGGCTAATTCTGAGTTCCCTCTTTCCTTCTCACTTTCTCATTTCTCTGATTACCTGATGCTACAGCGGAACTTATCTCTTCTGCCGGAGGGCCAGTGCTTTCATGGAAGGAACAGTATAGCATCGTTCTTTAATTGGGAGACAGGAGAAAGAAGCAGGAAATAGCATAAAGGTGTCCTTGTGTTCTGTGTTCCTGACTCAGTCCCTAATCATTAACATGTGAAGATAAATCTGTCCTATTCTCAGGCAAAGGGTTTATGTCTTTATTTTTTAAAGAGTGTGCATAGAAATCAGCTATGATCTACTGCTTCCAACCTTAGGTCTCAGATTCCTCACAAAGGAGGGCCATGTTTTCTTTAGCATATCACGGGAGAGAGAGGTATTTGCAGAGTTTTCAGAAGGGGAGATGGGCTGTGAATCTGGCCTGGTTCTCATTTGTGTCTGAGCATGTCAGGAGGACAGGACCAGGTGTGCAAGGGTGCAGAAAGCATTCCACACCCAGAGCTTTCCTGAAACAGCGAGCAACTGAGATGAATCAAAATAGAGAATTCGTGAAAGAAGAAAACAAGATAGAAAATGGACTGGTGATGACCACTGGATTCAGCTAAATGTGGATATCAGCCTTAATTTAAACAAACACACACACAAACAAACAAACTTTAAAAAGGGCTAGATGTGGTGGCTCATGCCTGTAATCCCAGCACTTTGAGAGGCTGAGGCAGGTAGATCACTTGGGTGCCGGAGTTTGAGACCAGCCTGGGAGACATGGTGAAACTCTGTCTCTACAAAAAACACAAAAATTAGCCAGGCAAGTTGGCCTGCGCCTGTAATCTCAGCTACTCAGGAGGCCTAGATGGGAGGATCGCCTGAGCTGGGGAGGCGGAGCTTGCAGTGAGCCAAGATTGTACCACCATTGCACTTAAGCCTGGGCAACTGAGTGAGACCCCATTTCAAAAAAATATTTAAAAAGAAGACTTTTGAAAAAGGATTATAAATTTAGAAGTAAACACTAAAACTCTACTTAATAAAAGAGCAAAATCTCTGAAGACAGTTTCTCTGAAGAGGAAATATCAGAGACTAAGAAATGATGAAATCTTTTTCTACTGGTAGTCAAAGTAATGAAAATAATAGCATTTGTGGGATTTTCCTCCTAGTGAAAAGAAGATCTTGTCTTAACGTAGCTCAGAATAATCATATTCAGCACTTTTCCCAGCACCAAGCAGGCTGAAATAAATGAGTAAGAATGAGAGCCATCTATAGCAGATGCTTGGGGAAGGTATGTATGTCTAAAAGAATAAATGTTGTGAAAAAGAGAATAATTGGGATTTATTGTATTTGGGACAAAGCTGCCCAGTATCAGCTAGAGACATGCCACTTGGTTCAGTTCCATTGGTAAGGTATTTGGTGAGTGGTTTGGCAGTGCTGAAAACTTAGAAGTTGTAGAACTGTGTATACTTTTGGAATAATCTTAAAAATCTACAATAAGAAAATAATTCTATTTTTGGAACATTTTCCTATATCAAAATGTTCTGGGTTATTTATGATAGCAAAATGTTTATCTTTTAAATTAATTTAATGTTTTCGAGACAGGGTCTTGCTTGTTGCCCCAGCTGGAGTGCAGTGGCATGCTTATGACTCGCTGCCACCTGAACCTCCTGGGCTCAAGTGATCCTCCCACCTCAGCCTCCCTAGTAGCTGGGACTATAGGCGCCTGCCACCACATGTGGCTAATTTTTATATTTTTTGTATAGACAGGGTTTTGCTGTGTTGCCCAGGCTGGTCTTGAACTCCTGGGCTCAAGCTGTCTGCCTGCCTTGGCCTCCCAAAGTGCTGAGATTACAGGCATGAGCCACCTCACTAGGCCCAAAAAGTTTAGAAATAACCTATCAACAAATGGCCAAGCAATCCTTTTTTTTTTTTTTTTTTTTTTTTTTTTGCTCAGTCCTATTTGGTAAGTCTCTTTTCATGTTGATAGAATTATTACTTTTGTAAAAAACAAAATTTTAAAGGCACAGAAAGTCCTATTTATTATACCCACATCACCATACACACAAAAGCCTAATTTTGTAGGGTATTGTTTTTCTAGTGACATCTTTCAGGTGAAACCTCACTGGGAACATCATCATAACCAGCTGGACACAGAGAAAGACAGATGGAGAACTCACTGGGCTCCAGTTTGGATCCAGATAGCCTCAGGCAAGAGTCTGCAGTTCCCAAAGGCAAGTTCATATCTGCCACCTACATTCTTCTCCAAACGAATCTGGACTTTTATATCTGACTGCATATTAGCTGTGAAGGGCTTCAAGGTCAGGAGCCTGTGGGAGGGAAGAGGTAAGGCAGGTGGGAGAGAAGCTCAGAGCTCACTACATCCCCATTTGTTTCTAGAACGACGTTCCCCATGTTGCCACAGAATCTTCAAAACCACCCTGTTAAGGTCATTTTCTCATTTTTCAAAAGAGGCCATTCAGTCCTGGAAAATGGGAATGGCTTTCTCCAAGGCATGCATCCAGCCAGTAGCTAAGTCAGAGGGTTCTGCACTCAGGGAATCTAATACTTGCTACCTCTGGCTCTGGGGACAGTTAGGAAGGAAAATATTGATTCTAAGTATGGCATCTTATCAAAACTAGAAAACTGCATCTGACCTTGGAAAGTCCTTTTCTAGAGGTCTCAGAATCCATCGCCTTGATGACCAGGCTTGAAATGGCAATGAATGAAGTAGACCGGCAGTTAGTTTCACAGGGAGAGGTAAAGGCTGTGGTGAACTGGAGAATGCCTGGCCTCTGCAGATGCACCATGCAAACCAGACAAAATTTATCAGTGGGCCAGATGCATCTCCTGGGGTGATCTCCAGGCAATAGTGTCACAGAATTGGGGTCCAGAGGTGATTCGATGTTCTTGTCTTCAGTTACATTCAATCAGAACTAAGCAGACTCATGAAGTTCAAATAAATGAAGGTGGGGGCTGTCTGGAAGAGGTAGGGGGAGGAAATCTGCTCAACCCTTCTGCTTTCTCAAGAGGGGCCCCAAGCTTGGAGCACTCAAGTATTCTGCAGGCTTCTCATTCTACACATGGGGTGACTCAGGCCCAGAGAGGGTGGATGTTTTGCTCTAACCACACAGTGAGTCTGTTGCTGAGTCCTTTGGTTAGCGCTCCTGCCCACAACCCCCAACTCCTGTGCAAAAGCCGATGGAACCTGCGAGACTCATAGCTGTGACTTACTGCACGATCAACTCAGATATGAATGGTACTCGTACAGTGGCCTCCTTTCTTTGAGGGGTGCTCTCGATGGAGACTTGGAGGAGTTGAGGATTTTTCACCTGTATCCTGGGTGAAGAAACAGCACAACACAGGGAGGCTGTGGCTCCTGCTGCAGGTGGACCTCACTTTGTGCAATGGCAGGTCCCTTGCAGAGAAGAAGCTGAATATAGGCAAAGATGGTTACTCATTCATTAACCAGGTAGTTTATTGCAAAGCTACTATGTGTTATATGCACTGGAAATATATCTCCGAGCAAAAAGAAGCTCTTATCTTAATGCATCTCAGAATAATCATGTTCAGCACTTTGCCCAGCACCAAGCAGGCTGGAATCAATGAGTGAATAAGACCGAAAGCCATATACAGCAGATGCTTGGAGCAGGTATGTATGTATAGGAGAATAAATCCAGTAAATAAATACATACGGAAAGTGATAGGCATGGTGAAAAAAAAAGGCCCTACAGGATCAGGACAATGGAAGGTAATATTGGGAAGAGTGGAATTTCAGACAGGGTAGTCAGGGAAGGTTTATCAAAGGAGTTGACGTTTGGGCAGAGTCACGAATGAAGAGAGAATGAGTCACACAGATAGTCAAGAGAAGAAAAGGACAGGCTTAAGACAGAGCAAGGCTGGGTGCATGGCTCATGCCTGTAATCCCAGCACTTTGAGAGGCCAAGGCAGGAGATCAATTAAGTCTGAGAAGTCAAGGTTGCAGTGAGCCATGATTGTGCCACTGCACTCCAGCCTGTGTGATGGAGCAATACCTTGTCTCAAAAACAAAACAAAGGAAAACAAAAAATCAAACAACCAAACAAAAAATTAGCTGGGCATGGTGACATGTGTCTGTGGTCCCAGCTACTTGGGAGGCTGAGGCAGGAGGGTGGCTTGGGCCCAGGAGGTTGAGGCTGCAGTGAGCTGTGGTCACACCACTTACTGAACTCCAGCCTGGGAGACAGAGCGAGACCCTATCTCAAAACAATAATAATAGTAGAAATAATAAAGAAGGCAGAGCAAGTGCAAAAGCCCTGAGGCTGAAATGTGGCTTGTGTGTTTGAGGAACAGCAACGGGCTTTGTGTGGCTAGCAGGCAGAGAGTGAGGCGAGACTAGTAGAAGAGGTGAGCGAGGTAGCCAGGGCCAGATTGCGTGGAGCCTTGAGGGCCAGTGGTAAGAACTTTGGACTTGGTTCTGAGGGTGAAGATAAGACATTGGAGGGTTTGGACAAGGGAGTTACAGGGTTGGCTCCGCTTCTTAGGAAGATTTTTCTGGATACTGGCAGAACAGAATGGAGGAGATGAGGGCTGGTGGGTAGAAGCAGGAGAATCTGTGGCTGTAAGTTAAGCGGGGAGATAATGGTGGCTCAGACCACCAGAGGTGGGAAAAAAAAGTGGTGAGATGCCTGGGTGTGATTTGAAGGCAGAAGTGACAGGGAGGATTTGGCAACAGGCTGGAAGCAGGTACAAGGGAGACAGAGGAGCCAGGGAGGACATCACGATTTTTGGCCAGAGCAACTGGATGGATGGAGTTGTCATTAGGTAAGATGGATTGGGCAGGGAGAGGCACAGGTTGGGGCAGGGATGAAGGTGGGAGTCAGCAGTTGAGTTTTGGACATGTTGAGTTTAAGAAGACAAGGGACCCAGGTCTTCTATACTCTGGTGGCCAATCTAACCCGAAAGCCCAGCATCATCTAGTATTAGGATTATCACATTCATGCTGTTTTTTATTACCTGTGATTGGATGCTTACTGAGGAGAGGAAGATGTGCAAACATTTTACACGTATTATTTCACTTAATGTTCACAACAGTCCCATGGGGGTAGATGCTATTATTCCCCATTGAACAGGGCAGATGTTGAGGCTCAGAGAAAGGGGCAGATTGGTGATGCTGTCACAGCTGGTGAGCAGCCATCCTTTTCCCAGACAAGGGGACTGAATCCCTGTGTCTTTAGCCCCTCCCCTAGCCTCCTGCAGTGGGAGTTTCTCCCAACCTGAGGATCTCAGGCCATCAGAGTTGGAAAGGCTCTTTGCAAGGGAAGGGCCTCTGTGAGGTCAGGAAATGTGGGGAGAGCTCTAACTATCCAACAAACCAGGACAGCCTGGACTGGGGGTGGTTGGTGATCAGGGACCACTCACCTAACAGTGTCGATCTCATTGGTGAGTGGAGGCCCCAAGATGTCCAGGAGGCCTGATACAACGTCGAAGGCACTACTCAATGATTTCTGGAGGCTGATTGTCTGCAGGCTGGGAAGAAAGTCTGCCCTGAGGAGTCCTTGAGTCAAATCTGTAAAGAATGTCCCACCCCCAAACCCATGTAGACATTTAGATGCCAAAGATCCCCAGATACAACCTCGATCTCCGAGCATGTCCCCTATGTAACTCTGATTTGTCGATCAGCTATTTCTGGCTCGCTGGGCTCTGGGCCAAGTTCCAGACATAATCATCCAGCAAATATTCACAGGGGCCTACTATGCACCTGGGCCATGCATCCAGTCTGTTCACCACCCTGGGCACCACCCTGATGGAGCTGGCATTCTTACGGGGCTGAGGAGAGACAGATGAAAAAGTGGAGGATAAAGGGACAGGCAGGATTCAGGTGCAAACAAGTGCTGTGAAGGGGTTGGTTTCAAAGTATTTAGCGACGAGCTCAACAGGGGCACTGGCCATAGCTCTGGACCAAGGTCCTGGGGTCCCCAGGCTGTGCCAGGTGTTAACTGCATAGTTGTTTAGTTCATGGGGAAGCTAGAGTTCTGGGGGTGAAGCTGGGATGTTTGGGGCAATGGGGGGCACCAGGAGAGTCTGTAAGCAGGAAGTATTTCCCAAATGGTATACCCCAAAATTTCAATGTTTTAACCATGATGACCGTGCCACTGAATAGCAGTCCATCCTATGACGAAAAAATAAACGGCAGGGTGAGGGATTCATTTATGCAGGAGGTCAAGGAAGGGCTTTCTGCAAATGTGGCATTTGAACAGAGACCTGAAGGAAGGGAGGCAGCCATGTTGACAGGTAGGGGAAGAATGTTCCAGGCAGAGGGAACAGCAGGTACAAAGGCTGGGACAGGGACCAGTCCATGTAGAGCTGGTTCCTTTGATGGTGGGTCTTGATAGATAAAGCACAGCAAGGAGACAGGAAAGAGGGGCTCTTGGAAAATGAGGATTAAACGATGTTGCAGTCAGGACAGTGAACAATTAATAGTGTTAATTGTGTCCCAGGCACTTTGCTAATGAGAACTTCACTGGCATTGGCTCAGGGTTCTGCATGACCCAGAGCAGGACAGTCTCACCATTAAGGAGCTGGGAAGAAACTCCAGCCAGGACCTCCTGTGCAGAGGATGAGGCAAGCAGCCCACAGAGGAGAATGAAGAGGCCGGAGACATTCAGCATCCTGGGTTAGGTCCCTGTGGAGGATCAGGGAAAAGAGGTCATTTGCAAGGACACTTTCTGAGAGGGTCTTCCCAGAGCTTAGGTCTGAAGTGGCCACAGAACTCATGTGGACCCATTCACCTATGTCCATTTTACAGATGGGTTGACTGAGGCTCAGAGAGGGACCTGCTTTTCCTCAGAGTTTAGAGCAAGAAACAGAGGGTCCAAGAGATGAAGTCACTTGCCCAAGGCCACACAACCTGTATTTATGCCCAAAAGCTGGACATATGGTTTTTCCCGCAGGGACACTGCCTTCCCCAGCAGGGCTGCTCACGGCTGCTGCAAGAGGCTGCTTAACGTTAGAGTTATGACAATGGTCTCTGAAATCCCCCACCTGTTAGCAGCTGTGGGATTGTGGGATTTAGTGCAAGTTGCTTCACCACACGATGTTATGCAGGACACACTATCCTCATTTTACAGTGAAATGGTGGTGGTGATATGCCCTGGCTTCAGACAGACATACCCGGGATGGAATCCCAGCTCTACCACTTACTTGCTGGATACCTGAGGCTTTCCTCACCTGGAAAATGCAGAGGATACAAACGCATACCTTCCTCTTGTCCTTGTTGTAAGCACTTAGCACAGCACCTTGCGCATTGTAAGTGCTTCACAAATGGTCACCACTGTGCCGATGCATCATTATGATCATGATTTTCACTTGACATTTTCAAGGGCTTACCTCCCTGAGCTGGTGGGAGAGAGTAGGCTCCGCAGCACGGACAAGAAGGGCCCAGGCTGAGGGACTAGGGCTGGAGTATGTGGACACTACAGGCCCATCTACTGTGCCCGTTTGAACGGCACACTGCCTGGTCTGGGAGTGCCCCTTGGGACCTTGACACACGCTCCACCCCTCCCGGAAAGGAGGTGCATGCAGGTGTTCGTGTGGTTTCCTGGGACTTCAACCAAATGTCAGTGCAAATGGCCCCACTGGGACCTCAGACTAACAGGTAGAGGCTGGTAGGGGCCGGTTCTCTCCTTAGACACTTGACGGATTCCAAGGAGACTCTCAGTCCAGTCCCTGGTCACTTTTCTCATGTAAATTCATAGCCCATTTGGTTTAGCATTTTATTTTATTTTATTTTATTTATTTATTTTGAGACAGAGTCTCACTCCATTGCCCAGGCTGGAGTGCAGTGTGGTGTGATCTCTGCTCACTGCAACCTCCACCTCTTGGGATCAAGCAATTCTCTTCCTCAGCTTCCCAAGTAGCTGGGATCACAGGCACCCACCACCACGCCCAGCTAATTTTTTCGTATTTTTAGTAGAGATGGGGTTTCACCATGTTGGCCAGGCTGGTTTTGAACACCTGACCTCAGATGATCCATCCAACCTGGCCTCCCAAAGTGCTAGGATTACAGGTGTGAACCACCTCATGGTTTAACATTTTAATTTGGGAGATCTGTTTTTAGGCAAGTAGAGAAATTAGAAAATAAAGATATGTACAAAGACAGAAAAAGTAGATAAAAATAAGTTCACAGAGATAACTTCTGTTGTGTCTTTTTTTGGAAGTTTTTCTTTCCATAGGTGTGCATTCATGTAACACGATGAGAAACAAGGATTGGCCTGTCATGCTTCTACAGAAGCATTTATTCAAGTAGCAGCACATCAGGACTGTCTACCTCCTCGTCTGCAGAATTTTCTAAGGTATGTATTGACCTATGTTCGTGGAATGTCTCCTCTTTTGGGCAATTTTCATGTTTTTACCCCAGATGGCACCGGCAGGAACATCCTTAGGGGTTTTCTGCGTTTCTCTGCCACATTATAACCCGTGAAGCATTTTCCAGGAATAACCAACCCTGAAGTTCTTTGTGTGTGTGTGTGTGTATGTGTGTGCGCGCGCATGTGTGGTGTTTTGTTTTGTTTCTGAGATGGAGTTTCGCTCTGTCACCAAGGCTGGAGTGCAGTGGCGCAATCTCAGCTCACTGCAACCTCTGTGCAAGCCACCACAGCCGGCTAATTTTTTTTTTTTTTTTTAATTTTAGTAGAGACAGGGTTTCACCATGTTGCCCAGACTGGTCGTGAACTCCTGAGCTCAGGTAATCTGCCCCCATCAGCCTCCCAAAGTACTGGGATTACAGGCGTGAGCCACCACGCCTGGCCTGTTTTTATAAGTATGGAAGCATTCTCTGTGTTCATCCTTCTCACCCTATCCGTGAACCGCAATGAGGGTTCACAGTCCTTGTGAAATCTATGCTCAAGTTCCATCTGCAGAGTTCTGGTTTTGATCACGACAGAGTATCTTGCATCAGACTAACCCTCCCAACTAACGTCAACTATAAGAGATGGAAATCTATAAAAACAAAGGAGGACATCCATGAGCAACTACACGGCCACAATTTGAAATGCTGTGATTCTTGAGAAAGAGACATCATTCAGAGTGGGCTCCATATTCACCCCAGCTTTTGCTTGAGGTCATTTTCCAACGTATCAACTAGAGTCCAAGCAAAAAGAGCTAGTCTTACAGGGATGAGGAGACAAAAATTGGAATTGGAATTTGGGGCCACCAAAGTGGCTGGGACTTGAGGGGCAAAATCCCAAAGAGGAAGGTCCCCAGGGAAGGAGCCTTGAAATCTCAGCTTTTAAGCTGCACCCTTGCAGGGTGGGACTCTCAGGCTTGAGGCAGAAAACAGCAGCTGAAAGTTAAAAAGTGAACAGAGACATCAGCACCTCCGCTGTGTGATGCTGGGGAAGGGAGCACTGGTTGGAGGTGGGCCCCTTTGATGGGAGGGACCTTGGTACACATCTTAAGCTCTCAGTGAAGACACAAAAGACTATGCCCTAGGAGAAAGGGCCACACCCTAGAAATAGTCTCCCTCTAAAAGTAAGAACAAGACCAAAATAGTTCTACATAATAAAACACAAAGCTAAGCCTAAGCAGGGTCATGATCCATTTCTGCTCTATCTTTCTGCCATCTTCGTTTCTGGAAAAAAGATAATGTCATTCACCATCGTGTTCAGCATCCAATAAAAATTTACAAGGCATGCATGCTTAAAAAATGACCAAGGGACTAAAGGCCAAGAAATTAAAATATACAACATAATAAATCCACAGGCAAGTCAAATATTCCAATATTGAGCAGACAACAGGGCAAGAAACCAACAGAGGATGAGGAGGCCCGCGACCTTCAGCGTCTTGGGGCAGTACCCGTGGGATACCAGCTAAGTAGAGTCAGCTTCAGGGTCATTCTGAGAAGTTCTCTATGGAGCTAAAGGAGATTGGGGGGAGCAAAGGAGTCATTTGGACTCATTCCTACCCACCCAACACCCATTTTTTTTTTTTTGAGATGGAGTCTTGCTCTGTCACCCAGGCTGGAGTCAGTGGCATGATCTCAGCTCACTGCAACGGCCGCCTCCCAGGTTCAAGCGATTCTCCTGCCTCAACCTCCCGAGTAGCTGAGACTGCAGGCATGCGCCATCATGCCTGGCTAATTTTTGTATTTTTAGAAGAGACAGGTTTCACCATATTGGCCAGCCTGATCTCGAACTCCTGACCTCGTGATCCTCCCACCTCAGCCTCCCAAAGTTCTGGGATTACAGGCATGAGCCACTGCACCCAGCCCAATACCTATTTTACAGATGGGACACAGAGGCTCGGGTCAGGGTTAAGTTTTCTTAAGGCCAGCTGTAGTTAGTGGCTAGCACCTGGCTCTCCCGCCTGTACGTTTTTTATACTTGATTCTGCATCTCACTCAAAAAGGCTACTAGGAGAATTCAGCAAGCGTTTTGAAAATTGTTTAGCCTAGTGCCACTAAATAGAAGTTAATTTTGAATTTGCAAATTAAAGTTCCTCTTATCCCTCCCTGGTTCTGACAGTAAGTACCCTTGGAAGACTCACAGACAGTCTGAAGGAGGGGAGGGTGGCTGGGAAGCACCTTTCCTGCTGGGTGCTGGAGGAGTGCCCCGATTCCTTACAACATCCCAAATCCTATGAGACAGTTATTGACATGCTTCCTTTACAGAGCAGGAAATGGAAGCTTGGAGAGCTGAGGGCACATGCCCATTCTTCCCTCTTTATTTATAGAGGAATCCTTTTATTTTTGAAGGAAGAAATGTGCTTAACAAAGAAATTATCTTTCCCAACCTTCTTTGCAACCAGGGATGGTCCATGAGATATAAATGGAAATTGTAGGTCAGGGCTTCTTAAAACGTTCTCTAGAGTGACTGATCCAGCTGCAAAGCGCATGCTTTTGTTTTCCTCTCCTGCCTTTTCCTGATTACATGTAAGACTTGATGACTGGAGCCTAGCAGTTATCTTACTAGAAGGAAGATGAAAGCTACATGCTAGGGGTAGCCAAGGAAGGAGATGGCAGGCTCCGCCAGCCCAACTCTGGGCTTCTCATCATGACGGAAGCCACAGTTTTTCATATTCTGTGCTAGAACCGAACACAATTTGTAACCAGTAACATGTATCAAAAGCTTTAGTCTGGTTCAGCATCTGATGAAAAGGCAGGTTGAAGAGTGCCATTGCCTCGTGCTTACCTGGATTTCTCTGGTGTGCTGTCGAGACACTCTGGCCTCTGTAGGTTGATTCTCGATGACTCTGTAGGGGAGCAGACTGTATAAATGGCAAGTGATCCCATTGCTGGGGGAGACGTGGCACTGGGTGATGGACAGCTAGGAAGCTGATGGAAAGCCCTTGATTTTACCACGTCTATCCAATACCTCCAAAGCAAACATGCCTGCCTGGAAGGCCCGGGAAAATGTCAACAACATATTTGAATCTGTAAATCACGAATGCCATCAAATGGAGAGGTGCAGAGAGTATGGAGAGCACCGAGAGGGGCTGCAAGCGGGAAGACAGTGTGCAGGAGTCACATTCACATCCCTGCCCCGCTCTGAGCTGCTTTTCTCATCTGTACAATAAGCAAGATGGGTCTGGTGACTCTGAGGAAGGAAGCCGCTCGGTCTTCTGTGAGTGGGGAGGCAGAGGATGTCCTAGCTTCAGTTTACTGGTCTGTGGTCCCAGACCCTTGAGCTCCAGCATGGCGCTGCCCATTTCTTGCTGTTTGATGCTGGACAGCTCCCAAGCCCTTTCCGGGTCTCCGTCTCTCCATCTATAAAAATAATAGCTCACATTGACAGTCAGTTTTCACAAATGTATCCTTATCATGCAAGAACTAATTAACCTGATTTTACAGATAAGGAAACTAAGACTCAAGAGAAGACAAATCTTGCCCAAGGTCCTAGAGCTAGTGTATAATAGAATCAGGATTTGAATCTAGTTCTACCTTCTATGAAAGCTTGTAACCTTCACACTACATCACAATTTCCTCCTTTTAGAGCAGAGCTGTGACTTCCTTGTGGGGTAGGGGTAACTGTTCTCTATCTTACTGAAGAGGTTTGTTCCTTGAAGACTTGAGAACAGATGTGCTCAACCATTTGAAAGGTTGGAACCCCACTAAAGCCTTAATTGCAAAGATGTCTTAAAGCATGTGCATGGTTTGAATGCATGTGTCCCTCCAAAATTCATATGTTGGAACTTAAACCCCAAAGCAGTGGTATTAAGAGGTGGGGCCTGTTGGGAATCAATTAAGTCATAAGGGTTCTGTACTCATGAATAGAACAGTGTCCTTATAAAGGTGGCCTCAGATAGCTGCCTAGCCCCTCCACTTCTCTTTTGCCATGTGAGGACATAGCATTTGTCCTTTTGCCCTTTCGTCCTTTCTCTCTTGTGATTGCAGTGAGAAGGTGTCATCTTGGAAGCAGATAGAAAGCCTTTACCAGACACCAAGTCTGCTGGCACTTTGATCTTGGACTTCCAGCCTCCAGAACTGTGAGACGTAAATTTCTATTATTTATAAATTATTCAGTCTAAGATATTTTGTTATTGCAGCAGGAACAGGTTGTACTTTTTTGATGGTGGGAACAGGTCTTGCCCTCTTCCCCTCTCAGTCCCTCCAGTCCCTGCAACAAGTGTAGCAGGAACACATTCCTTGCATGCTGAGGTTGGAGAGGCACTGCTTAGGTCATCTCTGAATTGCTCAGCACAGGCTTGGCTCAGCTAGATACTCAACAACCTTCCTATTTTTTTTGAAAATGCATTTTTTTCTTGCATGCACTAACACAGAAGTAAGTCACATCTAACGAATAAACTTCTGTCAAATTTTGGCATCCCTTTTCAGTTTTTTTCTCAGTTCCACTTTTTTGCATCATTGTGATTCCAGCTAAGCAAATTCTTAGATCTTTATTTCCACCCAGCTGGAAACTACAGTTATTTTTCCATTTTTAAAAAATGCCCAGAAAACAAGTCTGTTGAGTTGGTGTAACAATTGACTCCCCTAATTTGAGAACTTTGGCTTTTCCAGTGTGATGAAATTTATTCTACTCCCATTCGCAGAGCAAATATTTACAGTAAAGGTTTCCATCTGCTGGCAAAGATGTAGTGAAATAGGTACACGCTATCATCGTAGTGTAAACAGAAAGATCCAGTTTGGTAAATATTTCATGATGTGTTCCTGGGGTCACAAAATGTTCCAAGGCATAGAGTTAACAGTTTGGATGCTGAAATGTTATCCTGTATGAATCAAGCAAACATTGGAAAGATCCATATGAATGGGCAGCATTGATTTAACTGAATAAAGGCTTCAAAAGAGCCTGCACTAGAGTTGAGTGCTTTACTCTCTGGATAACTTCATGTCCACTTAGGTTGTGCCTTCATTATTCCCACATATCCCCTTATGGTAGATGTCCCTCTCCCTCCCAATGCATCCTCCTCTTCCCCAAAGCCTCCTTCGTGGGACATCACCACCTCCAGGAAGCCCTCACCACATCCCCACTTTTAAGTTCTGGGCTTGGTGAGAAAGAAGCCAGAGCGGGCCCCAGGGAGGCTCACAGAGGGGACACTCCCCCACTCCACATTGGCCACATCAGTCATCAGTGGGTCCTGGTGATCTTGGCCCTACTCCCTCCACAGCCTGGCACCATGCAGCTAGGAGCCATGCGTTTGGTCCATAGTCCATCAATTTTGTCCTCCATTATCTGTCTCTGGTTAACAGAAAATAATGCAGATCTCCCATACCCCCTAATCCTGGTTTGCTAGAGTTTTCCTGCTTACTCATCCACTCAGCTGCCCCAGAGGTGGTGTCTGTGTACAGTCAAGAAGAGGCTCATTCATTCATTCATTCATTCATTCATTCATTCATCATGGGTTATTTGCTTGCACCTTTGCTAGGCACTGGAGCTGTTGAGGAGTGAAGCACCTGCCCTCAGGCAGATGGGCAGAGGGGTGAACGAGAAGAGTGGAAGCCACGCTATTAAGAACTGATGATGTTTGAGTGTTCTCTCTGCATTGGACGCTGGTGACAAGGTAGCTTGGTTAGACCTGCATGTCGAGAAATACAGTGTCTCATTTTTGGAAACATTAAGGAGCAGTCCTGCTCAGCTGGGTGGTGACTCCTGAGCAGTGGAGGATTTAACCAGCAGGTGAGGGAGAAGGAAAGGTGTCCGAGGTGGTTGGGACAGCATGGACTAAGGCTTGGCACTGACCCGAGTTAGTTCCTGCCCAAAAGAAGCCCTGACTTTTGAGCACCTCCTTGTGTATTTTCTGTGGGATTGGATTGCCACAAATTATAGTCAGTAAGGAAAATTCGCATCCTTCATCTTTTGCTAGCGGGAAAAGCTATGGAGGAGATGAACTTCCGATTAAATGCCATTTTGCCTCTGACCAGCCATGTGGCCTCAGGCAAGTCACTTCACCTCTCTGACCCTGAGTTGCCACACCTAACCAAAGACTCATTCACTGGATCACTCAGTAAAAATCCGAATTCAATGAGATAAATGTGTATGAGGTCCACTACAGGATTTCTTCCCCACCTCGTCACTTCCGCAGGTTTTAAAATTTAATACATTGTAATCAAATAGTAGCAGCAGTAAATAAACACTTTGAAAAACAAGCAAGTATCCCCTTGTATCTGGAAGAATATTAAGTCAAAGTATTCTACATGATAGAAAGGAGACAACCGCCAATGTCCATGGTTAGACAATTCAAGGACATCTTGAAAATTTCTTTTTGTTCTTTTTATTTTTTATTTTTTTCTTCTTTCTTTCTTTCTTTCTTTCTTTCTCTTTCTTTCTTTCTTTCTTTCTTTCTTTCTTTCTTTCTTTCTTTCTTTCTTTCTTTCCTTCCTTCCTTCCTTCCTTCCTTCCTTCCTTCCTTCTTTCTTTCTTTCTTTCTTTCTTTCTTTCTTTCTTTCTTTCTTTCTTTCTTTTTCTTTTCTTAGGCACAGTCTCACTCTGTCACCCAGGTTATAGGGCAGGGGCACGATCTCAGCTCACTGCAACCTCTGCCTCCCGGGTTCAAGCGATCCTCCTGCCTCAGCCTCCCAAGTAGCTGGGATTACAGACATGTGCCACCATGCCCGGCTAGTTTTTGTATTTTCAGTAGAGACAGAGTTTCACCATGTTGGCCAGGCTGGTCTCGAACTCCTGGCCTCAAGTGATCTGCCCCCCTCGGCCTCCCAAAGTGCTGGGATTACAGGTGTGAGCCACTGTGCCCAGCCCAACTTGGACATTTCTAAAGCCATTTCCAAAAAATCAATGGCGACAGGTTGGGACACAGCTACTTCAAAGGGTAAAATGTCTATATCTACATTGGTTTTTATTAACAGAGATCAAGTTGTACCTGTATAGCATGACATTCTTGTCTTTAGCTTTAAAAGGAAAAAAGCCTTTTCCATTGGCACCAGTTTGAAATATTTCCAAAATAAGGCTCCCTTAAAATGGATTAGTACGGTATTTATTCATATGACAGAGTTCATCCATGTAGTAAAAAGACAAATACAGGCTGGGTGCGGTGGCTCACACCTGTAATTCCAGCACTTCGGGAGGTCAAGGCAGGTGGATCATGAGGTCAGGAGATCGAGACCATCCTGGCCAACACGGTGAAACGCCATCTCTACTAAAAATACAAATCTTAGCTAGGTGTGGTGGCATGTGCCTGTAATCCCAGCTACTCAGAAAGCTAAGGCAGCAGAATTGCTTGAACCTGGGAGGTGGAGGTTGCAGTGAGCCGAGATGGTGCCCCTGCACTCCAGTCTGGTGACAGAGCAAGGCTCCATCTCAAAAAAAAAAAAAAGAAAAAAAAAAAAGGCAAATACAGGGCTTCGTAGGCCTTGTTTGTTTGTTTGGTTAATTGTACAAAATGAGAGAGGAATACTCACAAGCATGATCTTTTTAACAACTGTTTAACTCTTAGGTACATCAGAATGCAAAATATAGAATGCCCTAAAAGAAACTGACCAACAGGCATATAAAATTGCAGTGAAGCCTGGAATCAGCTCAGTTCCTGCTATCCCTTCAGCATTCCTATGAAGAGGGCTTTCTCTCCTCCTGGAGCATAGACCTTCGACCTAATAGAAAGGAACCTCAGAAAGGCAAGGCATTCTGATAAAACACTCCTCCAGCCTTTACATGGGACATTTTATTTTTAATTTAAAAGGATCAACCGGCCTTGGTCAGCCTTAGGAAGGGAGGTATCACTTAGGTGAAGATATCTGGGGAAACTTTAAATACCTAGCTGCCTCTTCGCATTTAAATCAGATTGCCTTCAGCGGTTCTTACAAAGAATTCCTCATAGCTATTCTGAGCAGTCACTCAAGTTTTGGTTCTCTTTTACATAGCTGCATTTGGAGACACTCTGTGTGAGGCATGTTTAGAAAAAGAGAACCTGGGCGAGGTGGCTCAGGCCTGTAATCCCAGCCCTATGGGAGGCCGAGGCGGTGGATCACTTGAGGTCAGGAGTTCGAGACCAGTCTGGCCAACATGGTGAAACCCTGTCTCTACTAAAAATACAAAAAATTAGCTGGGCATGGTGGTGGGCGCCTATAATCCCAGCTACTTGGGAGGCTGAGGCAGAAGAATTTCTTGAACCTGGGAGATGAAGGTTGAAATGAGCTGAGATCACGCCACTGCACTCCAGTCTGGGCAACCGAGCAAGACTCTAGTCTCAAAAACAAAAACAAAACAAACAAAAAAATCCCCACTTATACCTGGAACAGATATTCTTCCAAATAACTTAGTCTTGTTGGTCAAGGCCGTTCCCAGAGATCACCGGCTGTTAGCAAGGGGTTCCCAGAGATCACGGCCTGTTAGCAGGGGGTTCCCAGAGATCACTGCCTGTTAGCAGGGGGTTCCCAGAGATCACTGGCTGTTAGCAGGGGGTTCCCAGAGATCACTGGCTGTTAGCAGGGAGTTTCCAGATATCACTGGCTGTTAGCAGGGGCTTCCCAGAGATCACTGCCTGTTAGCAGGGGTTCCCAGAGATCACTGCCTGTTAGCGGGGGGTTCCCAGAGATCACTGCCTGTTAGCGGGGGGTTCCCAGATATCACTGCCTGTTAGCGGGGGGTTCCCAGATATCTCTGCCTGTTAGTGGGGGGTTCCCAGAGATCACTGCCTGTTAGCGGGGGGTTCCCAGAGATCACTGCCTGTTAGCGGGGGGTTCCCAGAGATCACTGCCTGTTAGCAGGGGGTTCCCAGAGATCACTGCCACGCCTGTTAGCAGGGGGTTCCCAGAGATCACTGCCTGTTAGCAGGGAGTTTCCAGAGATCACTGCCTGTTAGCAGGGGGTTCCCAGAGATCACTGCCTGTTAGCAGGGGTTCCCAGAGATCACTGCCTGTTAGCAGGGGGTTCCCAGAGATCACTGCCTGTTAGCAGGGGGTTCCCAGAGATCACTGCCTGTTAGCAGGGGGTTCCCAGAGATCACTGCCTGTTAGCAGGGGGTTCCCAGAGATCACTGCCTGTTAGCAGGGGGTTCCCAGATATCACTGAGTGTCAGTGAGGGGTTCCCAGAGCTGCTGTAGAGACGGTGTTTCTGGTGGAGGGTGTCCAGGTTCTTGGCGTCTTGAACAAAGAATTGGAGAAAACGCACAAATAAAGCAAAAAAGGAATGAAGAAATTTATTGAAAAGAAAGTGCACTCCACAGTGTGGGTGCAGGGCGGAGCACAGGGGCTCAAAGGCCCTGTTATAGAGCTTTTGTGAGTTTAAAAACCCTGTACTTGGGGTACGCCCTGTGTAAATGAAGAGGATGAAGTAAAGTTACCAAGTCATTTACTCAGTGTAGGCCCTATGGAGAGGGTATTTCCTGTCCTAGCTGAAGTGTGAATTGGCCTTGCGTTCCCTGCCTCCAGGCCCTATTTTCCTGCCTCATCAGGGCTGCTGGGTAGTGTGCTTTGGTCAGTAAAGGTGAGCAGTGCCGTTCTGGAACCTTCCCGCCCGTCTGCTCATCCTTGCTCATCTGAACATAGCAGTCAATTAGATGAATCCACACTTGCCACAAAGGACAGAGTGCAATCTGAATTTCCCATCTTGGTATTTGATTGGAAGACTAGTTGGTCCAGCTGATGTTTTAACAGATATTGTTAATAGGTCGTCTGAATGGGAGCTATCTCTAATCAAGGAAGTTCCTTCTGGTGCCTCTTGTAATTTATCTTTGGCTCCATGGACGTATTTCCCCAGTACCATCCTGTGGGAGCTCCTGCAGGGCCTTTCCAGACATGCACCACCTTCGGGCACAGCTCCTCAGCGACCCCGTGGTCTCCCTGCTGGCTCCGCATCCCTTCCCTGCCATTCCTGGAGGGCTCGAGACACCGCAGGGTCATGGGAGCAGGGTCACTGTGGCAAAGACAGGTGGCCACTCGGGCTGGCTGGGGTCAGAGAAGGGTTTGTGTCCTTCCTGAATGTCAGTGGGAATCCCAAAATGAGTCCCTCTGGGGTATCTAAAATGGGGGAGGAGGGGTAGGGGACGGGGTTCTTTCTCCCCAGGTCCTAAAACACAGACGGCAAAGTCCTTCACAGATATGGTCACCCACAAATTGCCTAACCCGGGCTCCCCAGCTGCAAGGGTGGGGAATCCTGAGGCTGTGCCCCAGGGTCATGGCCCTCACTGTCCTCAGCCCACACCAGTTGCCTACTACAGGGTTTCTTAACACTAGTGACATTTTAGGTTGGATGCTTCCATTGTGAGGGGCTGTCCTGTGTACTATGGAATGGTTAGCACCACCCTGGCCTCTACTCACGTGCTCTCCTGGAGTAGCACACGCCTCATCCATTTGTAACAACTGAAAATATTGTCAGTGTGAAAGGAAGTTCTATTCAAAGTCATCCCTCTGCTCACTGAAATAGATGCATATTGTGACTGCCTCCTTTGGAAAGGCTAATCAGAAACTCCAAAGAATGGAACCATTTGTCTCACCTACCTGTGATCTGGAAGCTCCTTCCCTGCTTTGAGTTGTCTCTGTTTTTCCCGGTTTTCCGGACAGAACCAATGTACTTTTTACATATATTGATTGATGTCTCATATATCCCTAAAATGAATAAAACCAAGCTTGGGCGCATGTCGTCAGGGCCTTCTGAGGCTGTCATGGGCGCACATCCTCAACGCTGGTAAAATAAACTTTCTAAATTAACTGAGACCTGTCTCAAATTTTCGGGGTTCACACCAGACATTACCAAATGTTCCCTGGAGGGCAAAGTCATCATCAGTCTAATACAGTGTCTGGCATGTAGTAGAAACTTAACTAATGTCTATTCTTTCCTTTCCTCTTCAGTTATGGAAGAAACATTAGCTTCTGTCCTGTCAGAGTGGGAAGAACCTTTGGGGATATGGAAACAGGGCTCCGAGAGGGGAAGCTGGCTGCCTAATGGTCACACAGCATGTGAGTGGAAGAATGAGTTAGGTACAACGTAGACAAAGCAGACTTAGCAAAAAGACCCCAACATAGTGGTTTAAATAAGCAAGTTCATTCCTTTCTCCCTTAAGAGCCCAGGGCTGAGTGGTCTGGGGCTGCTGGAGCAGCTGTGGTGTTCTCAACACAGGGCTTCCACCTCTGGGTCCAGGGCAGTTGCTCCAATTGCTCCCATTTCTAACTGCAGAGGAGGGAGAATGCCAGGAGG